AGATCTACAACCTGGCTCCCTGGCTGGGGACCGCGGGATGATCGTAACCGATGGTTAGAGACATTGAGTGATATGGCTGGATGTCGTAAACGGTGGCGTTCGTGCATCTCCTCAATTTCTTCCCAACCTTAGTCCACTGAACTTCTCCATTTTCCTTTCGAATCCACTTTCAACTTTCCTTTCTTCTCCTATTCTTCATCCAAATGGTCAGCCAAAAAAACAGCAACCAAAACCGGCGCACGAAAGTGCATGGTTAATGGTTGTACAAACTGAACTGAACTGAACAACCTGACTGGATGACTATGAAGGAAGCCTGTCCAAATAACAAGGATGCATGGATACCTCGGTTGCTGCTGAATTTAGGAAATAACGAATGAGCTCATACAGAGCTACTGGTAAACTCGCATCAACACTGCTTCTTCTCAATCCGCACTTGGCTGTGCTAAAGCTAAAGGTATATCCACGAGACAAAACACCGAGTGACTCTGGGGGCGCCTCTTGTACCGAACTCCCATGTAACTGCATGAGTATCATGGAGCCGGCCTATCCTCTCCAAAGAGCCGGCCTCAGTAAAGCAAAATTAAAGTAAGTTTCGTAGGGAGCGATATCACTGTTACTCGTGTCCGATCCGGTTCTTGTCGATCTTCATTCTCTGGTCAATGAAAAAGATGCGCCTCCTACTAACATCTATCCGACAGGGGAGTAAGTACGATAATTTACCGTTTTCTGACAAAAACGGACCAGATGTCGCGTTAAGCTTACGGGATGGGAATCTCCGATCATTTTATTCAATGGTTAGAGACCTTGCTTAATATGGCTGAGCGTCGTGGACACTAGTGATCGCGCATCTACTCATTACCATCGCAACCTTAGTCTGCTGGAATGCTCCATTTTTTTCTTCGGATCTACTTTTAACTTTCCAGTTTTTCTTCTACCCCTTCATCTAAACGGGTAGCCAAAAGACAGCAACCAAAACCGGTGCACAAAAGTGCATAGTTAATGGGTATACAAATTGAACTGAACTGAACTGAACTAATGCGTCAAGTGGATAGAGGGAATAGTAACTAGAGAATATGCGCACACAATACCTACCAGGTTAGACGCTGACAGTGCTTCCGTTTTGCGGCCATCTCTGTGAAGGTCATTTTGTCCGGAGCTTCCGAATAAATATCCATATCATAATTCGAGGATAAATAGCTTGTGCCGATATTTTGAGACTCTGCGTTTTTCGGATAGAATTAGGTGGGTGAAATGAAATCAATTGGTTTGTGAGAAACAAATCGAAAGGACAAAATAAAGCGGGATAGAAAAGAAAGGAACAAATCATCCCCGCAAACGAAAACAAACAAACAAACAAACATTTACGATTTTTCATCTTCTCCGTTCTTCGTTCCAGTTTGGCCCTATTATTTTTTATTTGCAACAAGGCCAAATTGACCACTTTCATTGCCTGACCGACCAGGGGATGATCCAGACCGTAGGGAATCGGTTCAAGTTGTAAACGTTTCGCACTTAGACGGCATCCTTCCACCAATTCCTCAATGTCATACAAATTGCGTTCTTCGCCATCGTGTGGGGAAGAGGTAAGACGAGAATTAGATTCAAACAACGGATTCCAGTTGGCACTCTGCGTTTAGTTTGATTGTGTAGACTGTGATGATGATAAGACTGTTTACTCGGACTAGTAGCACTCTAGTTCCTGTCATGTACTCCTTTTGTTTAGTTGAACTGCAACTTACGATAGTGAGACGATGATAATGATCGCGAATTCGATAACTAACTCACATTTGACTGGGTGTTTGGACAATAAATACATTTTGTACCTGCCAACCGGTGGAGGTTACATGCTGTTTCAATTTGGAACAAACCATACATTAAGATATTACAAAAAAGTATGGGGGAGATGCAATGAAAGGATGTTACTTTGGGATGGCATCCGACAGACAAGACATGAGGAAACAGAATGTATGGTGGGTCAAATAAAGCTTTCATTTGGAATTCGAAGATTTGGTTTGATTCTAGTTCTCCTAATTGCTAATCGTTTGCAAGTCCTGTGATGAGCACATGTTTTGGTGAGTTATGGAAGACGAGTGAACAGAAATCTCATTATACGGCTCGTTTTATTGGTCCTAATCGGAGAACAATGTTCCCTCAGACCTTGAAAGTTTTATTGTGATCGTAGAATCTCAGTTCTTCCAATAGTTGTGGCTGGCAATACCCTATATGGACCCAGAAAAGTTGTTTCATGTGACCGGAGTGCCCAAGACATCATCATGTATCATTCGATGAATGAGGAAAAATCTTCTCCGGTTTGATGCGTGTTTATGGTTGAGCTCATGTCCATTATGATACCGGGACATGCAGTTCATATCCTCCTGCAAGCAACGTATTTATTGTCGTTCCTCTGATTCCTCAAATTTTTTAAGAGAGAATTTCTATCGTGAAGACCATTTGATATCAAGAGCCTTCCTGCCCTGTTTGCACTCCGAATGCGGTCTCAACTGTAACCAAAAGAAGAGATTCGTGAAAACGTCTCTAATGGATAAGATTACCTGGGTGGGTAACGCGAAGGTGTGACTGGAATCAGACTGTTTACGCGTTGGTGCGTGTATTATTACACTATGAACGTCATATCCTCCATTTGCCTCGGCACGTCCGTTACAAGGTCATGTGCATTAAATTTCCAATAAGCCTACTGATCTTTTGAATTTGGGCGTGAGTTCTAAGACACAGGAATTCGATCTTCAAAAAGCGGGAGTTTACATAATCAGCATTCAGCTGTGATTCAACTATGCGTTTATAACGACCACTAGGACAGTTTAGGGCTAACTGACTAGTGCTGATCTGATTAGGGTAAATGAAAGTGGACCAGCATAGCTCACAGTTCTAAATACACCGTTGATTTGTGTTGCTGATTCTGATGGGATTGGTTTGAGTCCGTAGTTGGACGAAATAGGTGTGCAAGTGCCAGGTAAAACACGTTTAATCTAAACCTTTGAATTTTAAGTAAGTTAGGAACGGACGGTGATCTGACCTCGACTACAAATGTGATACCGCTATTTAAACAGTACAAATCAATTACATAACACTGTTTGTCACATACAGATCCAAGGAGGCGTCAAGTAAAAAAGCTGGAAAGCACAGTAAAGCTGTTTTGTTCATGATTACGATAGACAACAATGCGAATCTATCAAGAGAAATATCTATGCATATTGTTCTCAAATCGATACTACGTGCGTTATGTAATACACTCACTACATCTAACAGCAGCAGCAGCAAAGGTAGTGTTTGCAGTAACACTTGTGATTTTCATGAACAATCTCGAAAATAAAATCCCAAAGGATGTCTTCACTAACACTTGGCTTATGTTCGCAGTGTCTCTAGCTTACGCGTAGCCATGAACAAGCAATAAAGCAATGTAGGAACATCAACTACCTTTCCCTCTACATGTAACACTTCTCTTTTGTATCTCATTGTTTGAGCGCACCAAGAATACTCCTTTGGTCAGCGCGTGTTTACGTGCACAGCACTTTTATTTCCTCATATGTTTCTTGTGGGCGAATATCCCTTGCCACATAAACCGGAACTGCTTCGGACGTTGATTCCGATTATTTCCGAGGCCAATTGCCACGTGCTCCAAATTTTCGGGCTAATAAGTAACAGCGAATAATGCACACATGCGCCCGCCTTTATCGAAAGTTCTCTCTCTCTAGTCTTCTAGGAGAGGTGCTCTGTAGTGACACTAGTTACCCCTTTCTCTCTGTATGTACCATTCCTCTCTTTCATCTCGTTGTTTTGCCGCACCAAGGGCACTTCTTTGGTTAGCGCATGTGTGCTTTCACTTTCCGCATGCTCGCTCACGCTTTCGTACCTGTTGTTTTGGCTCCGCAGGTTTACACACAATACAACCGTCGTAAGTTTCCTGAAGTACCTCGTTCTGCTTTCGTACGAATGCTAATTTATCACATAGCCGTATTACCCGAGGTTATCTTATNATAGCAACAGAGAGCTTCATCTAGCTAAAGTTCCGATAAAGAAGATGCTCAGCTACCCCCCACCAGACCAGCAATCCCCCTTTAAATTACGGTTGCCTTGAATGTGACAAACTAACAGCGACAGAAAAATATTTCAAAACCATTTTCCGCGGTGTAACAAACAAAAAGGGTGATATGATGAATTCGTCGTAGATATAAGGCGTGTGCTGAAAAGTTAAGAAGCTGTTTCGATCTGGTTGGGCCTAATCGGCAGTGCGAATTCATCGACCCAAAGAAATCCTCAAATATCATAAAACAAAAACATTTTATTCTTGTTATCTTACCCGTCTGTAATTATTTGAGCTCCATTTCACTCCTTTCTCTGTACTCATCATTTGTTATTAATGTTGTGGATTTGTAC